AATCCTTGCTCCAAAGTTTTGTGTTTAGAAAATCAATGTCTTCCACGTCAATTCTTAGAATCTACGAACACGTGTGTGTGGTCACACCTAAGACAAAACGGGTTCGAATAAACACTCGAATTTTCACAAACACCAACGCATGCATAATGTGAAATTGTTGGAGAAAAATTTTTCTCTCACTATATTAGAGAATTCGGCCACACTCTTAAAATTAGGGCAAAAATTGTGTCCCACAATTTACACAATTTTCTATTATTATCTTATTTATAGAGTAAAAGTCAAACTTCTAGAATGAATCCAATCTTTATCTCTAAGAAAAAGCTTGTTAATTATCTCCTATTTGAATTTAGAACAAAATCTCCTCTTCTATTTTATCCATTATGGCCGGCCACCTATTGAGGGATTTATCCTTGTGTGGCACCAAATACAGATAGGGACGGAAGAGAAAATCATCATTTATCCTATAGTCCAATTTTAACTCAAATTCAAATTCCAATTTAAGTAAAACTTAAATTTATTTGAATTCTAAATTGAACAACTTATCAAATAAATTTAAAAGGATAAATTTAAAATTGTGTTCATACTGTGTGTTCACACTATGTGTTCACATTGTGTCTTCACACTATGTGAACACCTTCACATAAGTGATCTAAAATTCAAATTTGAATTTAAATAATCACATTATTTAATTTATAATTAATTCTCAATTAATTATTTTTGAGTGTTTAATTTTTAGAATTCCGTAATTCTAAAATTCTCATTTTGCCCTTGTGTCTTGTAAATTATTAGGACGACGCGGGGACTAATAAATCTATAATTTTGAGCTATAATAAAATTAATAATTAATTAAACACTCTAATTAACTAATTAATTCTATTAATTCTAATAGTTACTCCACTATAAACTTGGAATTACACTCTCGTAATTATAGACATAAATTATTTCTAAATTGTGAAGTGTCCATCTAATATAGTCACTGCATATAGATCAATCCTCTATAAATAATTCATAATTAGAGTTAGGTAAAATCCGTTAACCTCTCGAATTACATCTTTCTTCTTGAGTACCATCGATTCTCTAATGGACAGCGATTCATAAAACACATTCATGAACCAGAGCGCTCTAACTAATCAAAGTACCAATCACTTTTTTCTCAAGAAGGAATGGATTTCATCTCGTATAATAACATTTCCGGCTACCTACTTCATCATGTCTCCAAAATATAAAGAATAGGATTCAGGATATCAGAATCCGTACTGAGTAAATCAAAAGACACAAATCTATAAATAGGAGTCTGCTAAAAACTCAAGATTAAGATCATTATATATATGACCGTCGATAGACTCAATTAGAATTTCAATACTTAAGAATTTCTATTTAGCAAGCATAAAAATTATCGCTATTAAGATGACTCAAAACTACCTAATTAGCCTGAGTGAGCCTAAATATTCTACCCTTTGTGTCCATTATTAGATATATATTGATAATACTATTGTCAAATTAGAGACATATTTTCAATTAGAAACCTAAAAGTGATCATTTTGTATAATTATTTCATTAATTGATTGCCATGTATATGCCTCAAATATGGTACGTACACCTATTTCCAACATCTGTTGGTGTAACAATATTCCCGTGTGGGTGCATCCCATCTAGGTCACAGTAAGAAATGTATGTGTGATCTACTTCTAAATCTAGAGGGGTAACTTAGGTTTAAAGTTAGATATACTTATAGTCACTTGAGGATAGAATTACAAGTATATATGTGAAATCATCTCATATGATTTTGTACTTGATCAGGTTATTTTATCCTTTATAAGCTAATCAATGACATAAGAATATTTTTAGAATAGAAACAAAAAGAAAAAAAGACTAAAAATACCTTACATTATATAAGTATACATATATATATATATATATATATAAAATAAACCAATAGAGATGAGAACCGATCACACTCAAAAATTCATTCACATTCTAACTATGCATTCAAAAATTAAGGCTATGAAGATAGACTAAAAACTACCGCCTGCGTGAACTTAAATATTTTACCATGTGTCTACTATTTCACCCATTAGTTTATGTGCTTATAAGCTAGATGGAATTAAATTAGATTAAATCATCTCTCAAAAAAGAACAACAAATTAAATGCAATCCTAATAACAATTGAATATTGTTGGTCATATTGTAAACTTCACGAGGGCAGCCATTAATTTAGTCATGTACGGTCCCGCTTACATGATGACACAATTCTCTCAATTTTTTTTTTCCAAATAAACTAAAAGAAGAATTAATTAACTGCAGAGATAATTGGCACATCTCAATTCAGTTGGCACCCACTAATTAATTGTATGTTATATCAAAATCCTGCTAATTCCATATTAATTATTAAATAAAAGAAAAATGCAAAATGTTAAAAAAATCAAAGGGAGATAATTATAACAACCCAAAAAACTCCAAAACGACTGGCGAAAGCTAAACCAAAACAAAAAGACGAAAAGTCCAAAGCTAAGTCCAGAAGATTGAGCCTAAACTTTCTCTTTGGGAGCTATAAACATGCCTCGTTTAAAATCTCCCAACCATATAAAAAATGACGAATTATAAAAATTCTCTCTAAATTATGACCCGTATAACATTTTTTTTTTATCTTTAAAACATGTAACATCTGTTTTCTAATGTGATGACATATTTCTCTTGGAATATATATATTTTTCCAAATAAAACGTTGCATCAATGGTAGCGTATGCATGTACACATTCTGGTTTCATAAAGTGGGTAGTCAAGGCTCAAGCCTACGAATTGTAGCTTTTACTTTGTTGGGGTGCAAATGGATCTAAAATTGCACAGAAACGACATGATAATATGGTTAGACGTGGCGATAAAGATTTCATGCAAGTTTTACTTTTCCGTGATATTGAACATTAATTTAAAGGGGCACCAAAGATAGATAGATGGAAAAGTGAGAAAATATGTCAAGATCGTGACTACAAGATAAGATATAATGTGAGCATAAGTTACGTCCTTTTTGTAGTTTTTGACCTTGAAGGAGGTGATTTTAATGTTTTTATACTTTGTCTACTTGATATGATAATTAATAATTATAACGAGAGAGAGAGAGAGATTGTAACTAACACATATAAAAGGAAAAATTAAAAGAAAAAAATGGCTGACACGTAACTGTTGTATATTTGGATAATTTAATAATAAACATATTTTACAAATAAATGTATTTACTAAAACAGGTTTTTATCTTGTATGATATATAATGAAAGGTTAGGAATTCTTTAATTTTCTTTTCTTCCCATTTATTTTGATTGAAAAGTGACAATATACATATACAAATATCTAAAGTAAAAAGAGGTAAAAAAAAAAAGTACCATATATAGAAAAAAAAAATAGCAAAAAAGAAACGCATATATAGAAAAAAAAAACAAAAAAAAGAATAACTAATACTAGGGTACTATTTAGCCAACGATCCATTATAAATATTATTTTGGTTAGTTACGTGGTAATTACGAAAATTCGGGAGGGAGAAAAGAGAAATTAGATGTGATTTCAGAGATCTAAAAACGTGGACGGTCAAAGAAACAACAAGTGGGACCCACGGAAGTAGCCGTAAGGGAGGCCAGCCGTCAATATCATTGACTCTGCTTTTCTCGCCCTTCACATGTAATGCGCCGGGCCAATCGGTTTGATGCATTCTTCATTCTTGGAACCGGTCAAACTCTTGTTCTTTGACTCTCTCTCTCTCTTTCTCTCTCTCTCTCTCTCTCTCTCACATCTCATAAAATTTGGTAAAAATGGAGAAAAGATTGCATGACTATAATTATTGCATAAAGATGATGTTCAACAAACCACGAATTTAAGGGGAAAAAAATTGGTTTAGGAAGAGATAAATGAGAAAAATATATAGTTTGTCATAGTTTTGTGTAGGCATATTATTTATATCATTTTAAATAATTAAGTGTTATTGTAAATTTTTATTTTTTATTTATTAATTGAATGACAATTCTTTATTTTTAAATGGAGTATCATAAATAATATTTTTTACCATCTTGATTCTTGAGTAGTATAGAGGGAATTAATCAATTTTAGCTATATAATTATAATGTATTTTATTGGACAAAGTTAAAATGAAATTTATAGGAGATTTTTAAGATAAGGGTACTGAACATTAGATTTGACTGAAATTATATGGAAAAAAACAAAAAACAAAAAATTAACAAAACTTGACAAATGTAAGACGGTTTAAACAGATTCCTATTAGTAGGGTAATTTTTTCATTCCCTACTGTAGAAGCCTCTAAATTTATTTATTGACTAAATTTTTCTGACGTCAATTACATTAAATCCGTTTCATTTGTTTACTTGAATATGATGTTCATAGCTGATCTTTCTTATGATCATATTCTTAACTATTTCTTACTAATTTCTCAAAAATATAACTACATTACATGCTAATTAGACGAAATTTGTATCTTTGTTTTCTTTAATTACTTATATTTTTTGTTCTTCTTTCTTTCTTGTTAAGAAAGATTAAAAATGTGGAATATTATATTGATCATGAATAACCGTCTAAATAAAATAATATCATGTGGTGATTAGATTTCTATGGAGGTTTTCATTTTTTATTTTTTATTTTATTTTTTAAACATATCTGATCTCTTCTTCAAACCTGGAACCAACACACTAGTGAGTCTTCATGATCCAACGGTTAAGAAATTTAATCCTTAACCATTTCACTTTCTTAATTGTGGCCAAAATTAAGTTACACAAAATAATAATAATAAAAAGTATAACAATATTAATAAAACTATGATAACAGTCGAGCCTGAAGACTTTCCTGATCTAGTCTTCTCTCTCTAAAGACTCTTTCTCTCTCCTTGCGATGTTTGCCACGTGGCGTGGACTTGACGCACCATCTTACCTCACTCTTGCAATCTCCACCATATTTATTCTCCAAGATCACACATTTCACATATGATGTTGGTCTTAGTCCAAACCCTTTTTGTTGCCGAGTCCATTGCACCCATTTGGAAATAAGACTTCAAAAAACTTCACTCTCTCATACATATCCTCCTAAGCCTTTCTTTAATTATTCTCTCTTTTTCTCTGACCTTTTTCTTCTTCTTCTTAAAAAAAAAAAATCTACAAGTAAAGGGAGCAACCTTTAGCTCCCTAAAGAAGAAGAAGAAGACTTCCAAACTTTTTCTTCCTAGATATGGACCCCACTAGGGAATTAGATCAGCTCGGTTCTCCGGTAATCAGAGGCGTCGACGGCCGGAAAAGGGTCGTCGGAGAATTGGACTTTTTCGCGAATAAGACTGTTGATCATCTGGTCAAAGCAACATCTCATGGCCATATTGTTGATGGTGGTGACGATGATGATAAGGTTGAAGATCAAGATCGAAGTGAACGAGATCATGGGGTGCTCCAAGAGATGCAACTTGACGTGAATGTATGCAATATGTATTTTAATTTTGAGCTTTCCTTTCACGATCAATTTTGTACATATATATATATATAATATATAATATATATGTAGAATATACAAGGTTTTAATTTTCTTTTCCATTTTGTACCTCTTGTAGACTGGCTTGTGTCTTCTTACAACCAACACTAGTAGCGAAAAATCAAGTGTGGACGAAGGCTCTTCAGGAAATAATTTGGAGGATAATAAGAAACCAGCTCTGAATGAGGTAAATAATTCAATTATAAAGACTATGTTTTAATTTACTATGATCTTGTTCTAGTATTATTGGTTTAATTTATTGTTTTTTTTTTTTTTTAAAGCTTAACATGATTATGGAAGTGATCATAATATTGGTCATGTAACTTTAACATATATATATATATATATATATATATATATACACATATTATTTGTGTGTGTGTGTGTGTTGGTGCAGCTGGCAGTTCTGCAGGCAGAATTGGGCCGAATGAACAATGAAAATCAACGTTTAAGAGGTTTGCTTAGTCAGGTTAACAACGATTATCAGATCCTTAATATGCATGTGGCATCACTGATGCAAAAGCAAAACAGCCAAAACTCTGAAACCGCGGAAGAGAGAAACAAGGTAATTATTATTTAATTATTAATTATCTTTTAATAATTTTGCTTAGCTAGGGTTTTTTTGTTTTTTGATATATCAAACACTTTTATGTGCTTGTTTTAGATGATGAGTAGACTTCTGGAAGAGAATCAGAAAAGTTTAATCGTCACAAAAGCTAGACAATTCATGGACATAGGCGAACCTCAGATCACCGGAGAGAAAGACTACGAAGTTTCGCAATCTTCTTTGGATCAAGGAAGGTCACAAAACCGTAATTCTAGATCGTCTAATCATCAACAAAATGAGATAGTGGAGTCAATATTAGAGTGCAAGAGTAATATTATTAATTCTGCTGATTTTAGCAAGGAATTATCAGCTCATCATCGTCATGATGATCGAGAAGAAGGTACAGATCAAGAACAACTTGGTGCTGGTGCAAGTCCAGGTTCTAGATGGGTCCCTAATAAAGTTGCTAGATTTGGTAATTCTAGATATCATGATCAAGACCAAGCAACTTCCTCAGCTGAAACCATGTCCATGATTAGAAAAGCGCGTGTATCGGTTCGTGCAAGATCTGAAGCTTCGATGGTAAGCAATGGAACACACATCTATAATATTAATCCAGTTCTAATTAACTTAATTGAGACAAAATTATAAATCTTACTTAATTAAAAATTAACTAATTTGACTTAAAAGTCATATGAGAACAAATTAAGGACACAATAACTAAAGAGGCATTCATGCAAATTAGAGATGCATGTATGTTTTGCTTTATTTGTTGGGGTGCAATTTGAGTATAAATAGTTATGCTGATCATTATATATACAAGTATGGTAAATGGTCTAGTCCAGTAACTTAATGATGTGGGACAAATTCATAATCTAACAATATATGCAGATACATAGATTTATTATTTATCCAAACTAATTAAGAAAAATTAAGAAAGTTAGACAAAGAATGTGAATTTGGGTGTGTGTGTGTGTGTGTATACACACACACACATATGTATAGCGAGAGAACATGTTTATCATGTACATTGTTGAACATATTTCAAGTTAATATTATACACTTTTAATACATATGTCAATTGTACGTATGATTCGTATAATTTACTAAAATCTCCATATATGTAGTTATCTGATGGGTGCCAATGGAGAAAGTATGGGCAGAAAATGGCAAAAGGAAACCCATGTCCTCGAGCTTACTATCGTTGCACCATGGCCACTGGTTGTCCAGTTCGCAAACAAGTAATTTCTCCATCCTTCTTTTCTTTCTTTCTTTTCTTTTGTTGTTTTTTTTTTTTTTTTTTTTTTGAAGTAACCCTTTATTCTTTCCTCTTTCCTTTTTTGGTAAATATCTATAGGAAATATGTCAGCCGAAAAAGGCAGTTACACAATCTTCTTAATTTCCTTTTCTTTAATTTTTTTTTTCCTTCTTTTCGGTGTGACCAAAAGCAAATATATTCAAGTGTAAATATATTCAAGTGTTATTATATATATTCACTCTTTTTAGACGACAAAGGCATGCGAGTAATCTATATCCTCTTTTTCCAACTAATTTGATCACTTCTAACTTTATTAGGAGCAATCTTTAACCTATTATATATATTCACATACCAACAATTACGTATCTCTTATTGCTTTTTTATTTTTAACTTTGAAGTCATATTTTTTTCTTAGCTTTTCTATAATTTTGATGTTTTAAACTTAAAATAAGGAAGTTAGTTCGGTGTGTCAATCTAATTGGCATGCTTCTACCTCTTTTGATGTTTGTGTATTCATCTACTTTCATTCAAAAAAAAAAAAAAAAAAATACACAACTTTGAAAAATTATGCCTCCTACTAATATTCAAGTAAAAATCAATAGGTGCAAAGATGTGCAGAAGACCAAACAATCCTGACGACAACATACGAAGGCCACCACAACCACCCTCTCCCGCCGACCGCCATGGCAATGGCGTCGACAACATCGGCCGCAGCCTCGATGCTACTCTCCGGATCAATGCCGAGCGCCGATCACCACAGTCTTTTCAACCCCAACTTCCTAGCCCGAACCGCTCACCCTTGTTCCCCGAGCTTCGCGACGCTTTCAGCCTCAGCCCCATTTCCGACCGTCACGCTAGACCTCACCCGCACTCCCACCACCACCTCCTCCTCCTCCTCCGCGGAGCAAATCTTAGGCCAATTACGCCAACTTTCGCAGGGCAATTTTCACAATCTTTCCCAGATTTTGCCTCAAAATGTCATGTCCTCCTCGTCGTCACAACTTTTTGGGCACGGTCTAGCGGACCAATGTTCCAAGTTGGTTGGTCTTCATGGATTAAACAATGGTGCTGCTAATAATCCTCTTGACATAGCGCCCGCCGGGCATTTGCAGGCTGACACCGTGAGTGTAGCGACGGCTGCCATCACGTCGGATCCGAACTTCACGGCGGCGCTGGTGGCGGCTATCACGAATATCATCGGTGGCAATGTTAAGCCGATCAATACTAGTAGTGTTACTACTAAAAATAACAGTGAGAAGAATGCCTGAACTAGTTTAATTTTATAAGCTTGCTAGCCTCAGTTTTGATGTTGGATTGTAAGTTTAGTCATTAGAGGATTAATCTTTCATTTGGTTTGGAATTAGATATATAGATAGTAAAACTTATAAAAGCAATATGGTTTTTGTTTCCCTTGATTTTTTTTTTCACGTTAAATAATAGAGTTTCTTTTTACAGTATTTATAGTCTTATAGAAGTGATATGAAATGGGATGCTATAATATTTTATTTATCAATGAAATATAGCAGCTAAATGTACAAAAGTCTAATTTTCTTTGAGTGCAAAATTGGCACTCTACCCTTGAATAATAGGCTAGTGAGAGAAAGAATTAATAATTTGGAAATTATTTCTTAGATCTCGTAAATTCTTATATGTATTTGTACGGGAGGTTGAATATGAAAAATAATAATACCTCGTAAGTAGTATAGTGTTTTTCTTTTTTAAATTATAGCAATAAATGTTTTTTAACGATCAGATTTTTTACCAGGTAAGCTACATATTTAAAGCTGTTTGATTCTGATGTGGTCATTTAAAATGTGCACGGTAGATGAAAAAAAAAACCTTAAATAGTATTGGAGATGAAAGAAAAACAAGCATGCATATATATATATATATATATATATGTCAATGTTATCACGATCTATTTCATTTTAAAAGAACTTAAAATTCCACTAAATTGCACAAACAATAACGAATCTTTCCATCTCTTGTATATGCTTAGCTTTGGTAAGAGGGAAATAAAATAGGAAGAAAAGAAAGGTACTTATAATAAGCTGATGAGAAAAATAAAGAGAGAGAGAGAGAAAAAATTTCCATATCAATTAAGAGATTATAATTTCAGTTCTTCTTTAAAATCCCCGACTAATTAATCCATTCACTCTTTTAATCTCTCCAACCAAATAACCTCAATCTTAAAGTCTTTGCACTAGTTTCCTCACCCTTGTCCCTTCTCCACTTTTTCCTGGTACCAAAGATGCTCATAGAGTTGCCATTAATCCAACAAAATCCCCTGTTGTTATATATGGACAGTTTTTCATTAATTTCTTGGGGAGAAGAGGAAATTAGCAGTTGCGAATGAACCAGTTTTCCAAGCTAATCCCATTTTCTCCCATGATGGATTTAAGGGGCTCTTACAATATTATTAAGAGAAAAGGAGACGAATACCATTTAAAAGGAGACGAATATCATTTAAAAGTGTCTGAATTTGGATTTTTACTTTTTATTCTTAATTAATATATATTTTTAATCAAATAATTATATTAGTTAAAAATGTATTCAAGAGTATTGAACAAAATTCAAACTCATTCACTAAGAGTATAGTCCATCAATTTTCTCTTTCATTGACACTTAGAGAAAGGAAGGAAGTGGTTCATGTTTCTCTTCTCAACCCCATAAAATTATGACTTCAATATGTGCCTTTTCTCTTTAATTTCTTTTCTTTTCCTTGTAGCTTGGATTTTGTCCTTGGTGATTCTCTCTGTAAAGTTGTTTTGGTAAGAAACATTGGACTAATGTGAAAATGGATTTGGAAAATTTTGAGGCAAGAGAAATTGACTTTTAAATAACAACGACTCCAGTTTGGACGGGATGGTTGGACTCCTTTTATAGATATGCAATGTGAATAGAATCTCTTGTCCACAATTGCGGTGGCAATGGAGTCAACTTTTAACAAAAATGGACTGACTTTGTATCTTCCTCAATATATGTGCTTATACGTCAATATGTACTAGGTTTGATGCACGTCCCTGGGGTATACAAGTAATCTACACTTTTTTATAAATAAATTAAAAAAAAAAGTATACTTCTTTTGAAGGGAAAATTTCATTCCAAAATTAACAAATTACATACTTAATAATAGTGTAAATGCCACCAACTACAAGAGAATTCGATTTGAATATTGATTGGACCCACAGTGAAGACGGATGAAGCACATGGGTAAATACAAGTGCCGAGACCCCACGAGAAAAGACCTACTCAGCACAAATAAACAAATCTAGCCGTAAATGAACACATACACCATGGAAAACCAACTCAGATGGACGGGACACACAAAGAAAATCAAAATGTAGAAAAACCACCTCTGTTATTATAATACATAAACATGATGAATACAACACCTTTATTAAAATTAACAAAATACTAAGAAAACTATAAATGACCTCAGTCAAACGGGAAGAAAAGCCAGCAACAAGCCAACCACCATGGTATGGAGGCCAAGAACCTGGATCTAAGCAAAGTCACTGCAGAAGAATCGCGACCACCGGCGATGAAGACAAAAGCAAAAGCAACCCAAATGAAGCCTCCACACTAGAGATTTGTCTGAAACCTCCCGCTTCTTGCACCAACGGAATCCGCCACACCTCTAGCACCAACAGCAGTGGCCCCAAGACACCCATCGTCTCTCTCCTAAACCATATCGACAAAGGGGTTGAAACCCTAGAGCAACAGTGCCACCATACTCTGGCTCACCAGATCTATACCTCCGTCACCCATGGACCACGTCTATCAATGGCCAACTGGACCCGTATGACCTTAACCACCATCTAAAGGGCTAAGAGTCTGACGGCTAGCAATTGGAGGTACCAAACTTGAAACCCTAGTTGTACCTCTTGAGAGAGAGAGTAGAATTTTTTTTTTTCATGTATACTAAGATTAAAAAAGAATTATTGTTAATCGTTATTATGGAGAATGAGTGAAATAACATAATATGACTTTCAATAAAAAAAATAATAGCATAAAATCTACATATAAAAAGTAAATAGCATAACTTTGTTTGGTTAGAGGGAGAGATGGAGGGAGGGAGAGGGGTGGAGGTAGAGAGGTAGCAGAACTGATGCAATCCCTTGTTTGGTTGGAAGGTAGAGAAGAAAGCGAGAGGAGATGGAGGGATGTGCTCTCCCTCCTAATCCACCCAATTGAATCCTTCGACTAATGGAAGGATTCATACAATCCACTAACTTTTACTTTTACAAAACTATTTTACCTTTCAAAAAATTTATTAACAAATTACATAATTAGACAAAATAGTAATTAATTAAATAACTATCCTTCATCCTTCTAACTCCCATTCCTTCCTACCAAACAATATAAATGATTACTACTATTTTCTCCATCCTTCGTACTTTCCATTCCTTCAAACCTCTCCATCCTTCCTACTTTCTATCTCTCCTACCAAACGAAGTCTTAGAATAACAGATTTTTTATTATACAAATATTTAGTAGGGTCAAATATAATTGTCCAAAAGTTTTGATGTTCTAATAATTTTTGTAAATAAAAAAATCAAGTTTTGACCCCAAATTTGTAGAAATTAAAATTTGACCTCTTAATTTTATGAAAATTACAAATTCATCCGTAACTTTTAGAAAATTATAAATTAATCCCATATTTTTTTTAAAATTATAATTTTACCCTTTAATTTTTAAAAAATTACATTTTAACCTAAATTTTAAAAAACTTTACAAAAAAACCCCTATTAGCTTGTAAATAAAGAATTTAGCATATAAACTATAACTATTGGCTGGTAAATCAAGGATTTACTCATACTTAATATGGTAAATTTTGTATTTACCAAAATCACATTCGTTTTTCTAGGTTGTAAATGAAGCATTTACCTAGTAAATTCTTTATTTACCATGCTTTTAGTTGGTAAATGACGCAGTTATTCATTTACTGGATAAATTCGTCATTTACAGTGCCTTTAGTTGATAAATGCTTCATTTACTAAGTAAATTTGTTATTTACTAAATAAACTAAATTATTTGCTTGTAAATAAAGAATCACAAGAATAATTTGTAAATGATGGATTTACCTACTAAATTATTCATTTACCAAGGGGTATAAATGCAAATGTTTTAAAAATTTTGCTTAAAATGCAATTTTTTAAAAATTAAAGCGTCAAAATATAAATTTAAAAATTAAGGGTAAAATTACTATGCTAACACTAATTTTATTATTCTTCCTACATCAGTTTCACAATATAATTTTCAAAAAGTTAAAGGATCAAAGACTAAATAATTTAAAGTTTCAAGAGAGAAAGAACATAACAGTAAAATTGAAACGCAACATACTAACTAAAATTATAAATATTTTATTTATTTTCACTATTTCTAAATATGTTATTTACTATAAATGGTTTAATAAAAAGAGCTATATAAAACATTTTTAAAAAAAAAAAAAAAAAAAACGAGTACGAAACCCATATTCAATTCCAACAAACACAAATTAAAAAAAAAATGTTGAGAACTTGAAATACTCAAGAAATGATGTTAATGAGAGTACGAAAATAGACAGATAGAAACATGCACATACATATTCATAAGTGAATATTCAAGCTTTTTATGAGGTTTTAGTGTGTTTAACAGAGAAAGAGTACTCGCTTATCAATTAAAAGTAGTTGACTTATTTTAAAGTCATCGTTATTTCTAAATAGAGAAAATCCATTTATGTGCTTGATTGTAGGCGTTTGAAATTAACGAGCCTCATACCGCTTGATCTAGTGACTCTAAGGGGGTTCACAGAATTAGGTTTGGAAGAGAATATTACAGGTTCCATCTTGTGCTGTATAAAAAAAATAAATGAAAATATTAATTTATTTTACAGATGTAATTAATTAAGAGCTTTAACTGATTGGGGGCCTTTAAGTGGGGCCTCAAGCAATTGTCTTAATTGCATACAAGTACTAGAGTCGGCACTGGTCAGGTTGGATCTTGCACACCAGGTTGGTACTCGAATCGCTATTACTGAGACGACAGATGTTGTCATATTCCACAATTTATATTTTTTTTTATACATCATAAGATTGAATCGCAATGTCCACCTAAATGTCACCTCACTTAAACTCTTAGAGTACGTTTGGTTAGGAAATTCGTGCTCTAATTCGAATTATCATAGTTCGTGGTTCGCTACAGTATTTTTTTTCACAAAAAACATACGTAAATTAAAAATAATTCTGAAGTATGATTTTAAATCTATGAACCAAACGTCCCCTTAGTATCACTAGACGAAAAACTCTTAGGCTCATATTCCTCAATTTAGGAATAAAGTAGCCTACTCTTTGACCAATTTTGTTTTTTCTATCTCTGAGTGTGTATGGGGTATTGAAGTTGTTCA